TCTAACCATTGTAATATGGAGATTTGCCTGGCTTTATCTATGGGCAGCATGGTCTTACTGTATGACATATTTTGTTTGTGTTGGAAAATTATCATTGGCAATTGCACGTGTGGTATTGTGGTATTATATTAATATCTGTATTTTTATAGGCTTCTGCCCTTCAATTTTTTTTGTTATTTAGAAAAAAAAAGTATCCTCAACATGATTTGTAATCAAAATATTACTACACACAGAAGACAACGTGTCTGGTAGTCATAGTGTTCAGAGCTGCTGGAAAAGACGCTTCCTCTTGTGTGTAATTTTAGGGCTCTTGTCTGTCTCCAGTGGGGCCGGAAAACAGCATGGGTTCTGTCTGAACAACTGATACTGACTTTGTCTCAACGTTTCTTATTTCCACCCTTTCCAACACTACACATCATCCATGCAAGGCAAAATGTGTTGTCACTGTCACACAATAAAAACAATCTTCTTTACAAACCCATATAACTTTGTTTTTCCAGTAGAGCACAAAAGGTGAATTTTTTAAGGATCTCAAATCAAATATGGTGTTGGTAGATGCACCAAATCAGGTTTGACATCAAACATCATTAGTTCTCAAATTATCAGTCATCACTGGCGTCAAAACTATTCCTTTACAATTAATTTCATGTTGTGTCATTTCTCATAAGCTATATCTGTGAGGTTATATGTTCTTCAAATGTTTTTCTTGTGTATGACGCATGAAACCCTGTACCCTTTAAATGTAATAATTTCTGATAAAAATTTGGAAATTACTTTTTCCTTTAAACCATCTTACTTTTAAAATGCCTGGCATGCGTGAACAACAGTCATATTCCAGAGCATGTTTTAAGAGTGATGTACTGTGGGCAAAACCAGGTCACATAGGCAAGGCAAGTTTATTTATATAGCACATTTCATACACAATGGTAATTCAAAGTGCTTTACATAAAAGGAAGTAAAATAATCATAAAAAAATCACAACAATAAAACAGGGAACTTAAAAACTTTTTAAATTATTTCGAAATTTATAACAGTTAAAAATAGAAAATGATTATACATAAAATGCAGTGCAATCAGACGTACGTAGCACAGTGCTCATTCAATAAATGCACAGCTAAACAGATCAGTTTTGAGTCTGCATTTAAATGTGGCTAATGTTTTAGCACATCTGATCTCTTCTGGAAACTGATTCCAACTGCGGGTGGCATAATAGCTAAAAGCGTACTCCCCTCATGAGCTGCAGCTGTCTAATGGTCTTCTTGAGCAGGCCGGTGAGGAGACCATTACAATAGTCCACCCTGCTGGTGATAAAGGCATGAACAAGTTTCTCCAAGAAACAAAACATCTAATTCTTGCAATGTTTTTGAGATGATAGTATGCTGATTTAGTTACTGCTTTGACATGACTACTGAAACTAAGGTCTGACTCCAGAATCACACGCCCACTCTAAAGCGGTACTGAACTGCAGTGGAAACGCAAACCGTGCCGAACCGAACCGTGCCGTACTGAGCCGTGCCGAGCCGAGCCGAGTCGTACCACGCAGTGGAAAAGCGCCATTAGTGTGAGGTTTGACAGCATGATGTGTCACAGTGAGCGATAAGAGACAAACACAAGTGGCCTGCAGTAAAAGAGATAAGTTGATGTCTCCATGATGAACATTGACCTTACTCATAACACTTACATGTACAGTAAGTCTTCCTTGAATGTGAAAGGAAACCGCTTACTCGGTACATTAATGGACTTTTATTTTTGTTTCTCCTTGAGAAAATATTATAATTTTTTTACCAAATATGAGTTTAAAAGGATTTATATGGGCTAATTGTTTTTTGTTTTTTATTTTGTTTGTAAAATTATTTTTTATAAATTATTGTATACAGTTTATTGAAGTATTGTTATTAATACTATTTTAAATCTTATTTTTCAGTTTGCCATGAATATAGCCTTTGACGCTGTTAGGTGTAAAATGATTAATAAAAAAATAGACTGCTTACATTCTCATAGCTAGGATGGTTCACCAGTATGGTGATATTTCTCATTTTATATATATATATGCACTAAAATTATGTAGTGCAAAAAAATAAATGACATAATCAAGGCTTGTTTAATGTTAAACTTTTATTTCCAGGTTTAACAGAATGATATCCCAGATATTCTGTGTGGTCGTAGACTTTTGGACCCTGATGTATTTTTAGTAAAGCATTTTATCATGTGAAAAATGGCATGAACATATTTTGATCAGACCTTTGAATAGATTAGCTTAAACAGCCAGTTCGAACAGATTCACAGAAAGAATTAAACTTATCAGACCTGCTGTTTTTTCTATTGATTTTTTTGTATTCATGAGACAAGGAAGGATCATGAAATTAATTTCATGAGATGTTGGAAAACTCAATGACCAAATAAAATTGCATTAAAATCTTTTGTCATTTATGATGTTGCTTAATTTTAAATGACTAGCTAATCATGTGTGCTCTACAGAGTGACTCGTTTTAACTTTTAACTTGACTGAACATCACCTTGAGTGTGTGCAGTAATATGGAAAGATGACTAGATTAACAGTTTTGATGTGTAGCATGGATGAAATTCTCCTTAAAGGATTAGTTCACTTCTGGAATAAATATTTCCTGATAATTTACTTACCCCCATGTCATCCAAGATTTTCATGTCTTTCTTTCTTCAGTCAGAAGTTAAGGTTTTTGAGGAAAACATTCCAGGATTTTTCTCCATATAATGGACTTCAATGGGACCCAACAGGTTGAAGGTCCAAATTGCAGTTTCAATGCAGCTTCAAATGGCTCTACACGATCCCAGCCGAGGAATAGGGGTCTTATCTACCAATTGGTAGAGAAACGATCGGTCATTTTCTAAAAAAAGTAAAAATTTATATACTTTTTAACCACAAATGCTCATCTTGCGCTAGCTCGACTTCACGCATTACGTTGTCACATTGGACTACGTAATGCGTGGGTCCCATTGAAATCCACTATATTGAGAAAATTCCTGGAATGTATTCCTCATGTTTTCCTTTCGACTGAAGAAAGAAAGACATGAACATCTTGGATGACATGGGGGTGAGTCAATTATCAGGAAATTTTTATTCTGGAAGTGAACTAATCCTTTAATAACAGAAAGACCGTAACCAGCAGGTATTTAGCACTCAGCCCCCTTCGCTGTCATCTCCATGGTAACAGCGCAGGGCTAGAGACATGAGTAAAAAGCACAGGAATGATTAAAGATAAAGAGTATGTCCTTCTGTTGCTGCACATGCTCTCACACATATTGGGTCCTCACCATTACAGTTCAGTTCAGAGGAAAAACAATGAGCTCTCACCCACTCGCTAATCATGGCACATTGTGCCAAAGGGCTCTTTGTTGCAGAGCTTTTCTCTGCCAAGCACTGATATTAGTACCATTTCTGCCTCATAATTCACACAGGACTGTAAATGCTAAATGAGCATGTGCTAGTTTTCTTTTGTTCTACATGTAATGCTGCTGGTTTTGAAGTGTTGTGCTTTTTTTTGCATTATAAATTATGCGAGGTTGTAAGCAGATTTTGTTTGGGTGACTCTCGTGAAGCCTCTCAAGAACACAATAGAATCATATTTGGCC